AGCTTTGGTCTTAATCTGGACCCAGACTAGACATATTTGCTCAAAGCTCTTCTTGTGTTATAACATAGATGGCAGAAAAAAAAAAAAGTCCATTGACTACATCATAGTAATAATTCCTAGATAAAAACCAGCTGTTTAAAACTTATTTTCCTTACTGTATTTCTAATAATATACAAGATTTTGAGCTCTCAAAGAAAAAAAAAATCTGATCTAATATTTGTTGTCAGCATAGTTCATTCAACTTGAGTGACAAGAGGAAATGGAGCCATTTCAAAAGTACACTTCAGTGTACTTTTTATTATAAGTCTTAGTCACCTTTGTTGAATAATGTTCAAGAGGGCATTATTTACCTTTTTGAAAACAGAAGTCTGATTTCATTGGAATTTAAATTTGAAATCCACTAATTTTATGTTAGAAATTCTGAACACAATTTAATACTTTCAAAAATTGTTCCATAGTTGATGGTTAAGATAAATAGGTAGAACTGCACATACTTCACTGTGTGTATCATTAGAAATAAGGATTATTATTAAAAAGAACTATTCAATTTAATTAATTGGAACAATTCTAGATAATATCCCATGTTACTGCAAAATTTCCAGATGGCTGTTTCTAGCTATTAATGAAGACATATTAACTTAGCTTATTATTCACTGAACATAAGAACTTAAAATGTGCCATATCTGTTTCATCCAGCCCAGAATTTTATCTCTGCCAATGGTACTAAAGGGCTTATTTGCTATTGTTAATGCTGGCATTTGGAGACGTTCCTATAAAACACTATATTTTTTCTGGTTTTTATTATGGATTTGTCTCCCATGAATTTATCTAAAATTTTTTGAAACTCTTTCAAATTTTTGAAGATAAAAAGTGTAATAAAAGATAATTTGTTGCTGACTTAAGCTTGCCAAGCATCTTATATGACATATATTTCTCATTTTCAAAAGAGTTGGTTTGATACAGTTTTTCAGAATTGCACTATATAAGTAAAATGCCATTTATGAGATGACACATGATACCAATGAAGCTATCTGCCTACTCCTCCATGAAAACACTTGGCTATCTCCATGAGCTCTAGAAACCAACCCACCTCTCCCATATTCTGATGTTCCAATAAAGCTGCAGCAGCCTCCCATGTCTCTCTCTGGTGACATGACATGATCAGCATTGAAAATTAGATTGTGGGCTGCTTGAGAGATGTGCTTGTACTTTCTTTGTATCACTGGCACTCAGCACATACCTGACTTGAAGAAATAGACATCTGTGAACTTTACATATGACTTGAACTCAATATACTATGCCAAGACAGGGATAAATAGAGGAGAAAGAGAGAGACAGAAAGAGAGAGAGAGAGAGAAAGTAAATAGTTTGGAAATTCTAGTGTGGCTTCTTAGGGAAAGTTTATATTGAAGAATTCCCTCCAGACAGAATGATTTGCAATGCAATAAAACTGTCTAAAACTATCACTTCAGGGTAAGAAAAACTTTACTAAATCCCCTCATGTTTTAAGCAAATGACATTCAGGAAGAAAAGGCTATTAAAGCATCATCTGTTTGCCTAACTTTTGGTATTCTAAATACTGAGAAATAGCTCTCACCTTTAACTGTTACTCGCATTTTTTGTCTGTGTTTGAATTATAAAGTCTATACAATTTTAGGGTTTGCATAGGGTGTCTAACCTTATATGTTTCATTTTCGCACTGGGATGGTTCCAGGGAGCAAATCTTAGTATAGTTGAAAGGTGCTACAGACCTATCAGAGTGTTATTTGTATATAATTTACATTCACCTCTAAAGACTTATGTAGACAGATGGTCAGTATAGGCAGATTCCAATGGGGGAAAAATTTGTTGCTATCCCTAATATCAGCTAGTAAATGTTCTACTGTATTTCTCAAGCCTTTTTTTTTTTTATACCTTTTGTTCAGTTGTTTTTCAGTCATGTCCAGCATAACCCCATTGGGGGTTTTCTTGGCAAAGATACCAGAATGGTTTGGCATTTCCTTCTCTAGCTCATTTTACAGATGAGAAAACTGTGGCAAACAGAGTTAAATGACTTGCTAAGGGTCACACATCTAGGAAGTGTCTGAGGCCAGATTTGAACTCAGGAAGATAAATCTTCCTGACTCCAGGCCTAGTGCTCTCTCCATTGTGCCACTGAGCTGCCCCTGGTTTTCATTGCTATCTTCCTTCACCTATTAATTTTTGTAAGTATATGACAGAGAAGGTTAAGACATATAGAATAATAGAAATATTTTCTGTGCTTCACATAGCCCCTCAACCAGTTTGGAAAATACTAATTTAAATACTTACAGTCACTGATTTATGAGCTGGCTGTGTTCCAAAAGTTCATTTGAAACACAGTTACTTGTTTTTGGGTAAAACCACATTGAGTGCCAACGCTATGAATGGCGTGCAGGCTCTTACACTACCTCACAAAAGCTTATTTATCCATAGCACCGTAGCATTAAAAATTTAAAACTTGAAGGCACCTTCTAAGTCATCTAGTCATACCTTATGGTCTGTACTAATAGTATCATAATACCTAACTGTCATTTGTAACAATATTTTATGGGAAAATTATGTCCATAATTCCAGGAACAAATATGTTTTCCCCTAGCTAAGGTAGAGCGTTTGCTTCCCTTACCTCTCTGATCTTTAGAATAATGAGCCTGAGGGATTCCTTCCACTACAAGCCACTGGTGAAGGCTCCCATGGCTTCAGGTTAGAATTCCAGGAGGGTTTAGGAGGAGGCAAAAATGGAGGGGTGGGTGAGTGTGAGGGCTAGTGGAGGAGTAAGCCTCACTGACAAATAGGAATAGGAACTGAAAATCTATGGGGCTCATGCCTCAGGGATCACTGTTTGACTTAGTGTTATTTAATCATTTAATCAGTGACCTGATCAAAGACATAGGTGCCACATTTATCAAATTGCAAGTTACAAAAAGCTGGAAGGAATTCCTAATATATCGGATAACAGAGCAAGGATTCAAAAAGGTCTTAACAGGCTAGACATTTGGGCCAAATCTAATAGGATGACATTTAAGAAAAAAAAATGTTCAGTTCAGTTCAGAAAAAATCATCTTCAGAAGGCCACGAGAAGCATGTATAGATGGCAGTTGATCTGAAAATAACTGGGAGATTTAGCGCATTGAAGCTCAATGCGGGTCAACAGTATGATATGGCAGCCAAAAGTGCTAATACAATCTTAGGCCAAGGCATGATCTCCAGAACTAGGGAGGTATAGCTTTGCTCTACTCTGCCTTCTGAATACATCTGAATCTGAATACATCTAGTATATTGTGTTAAGTTCTTGGCCATACATTGTAGGAAGAAAAACTATAGTGTCCAGAGAGCAGACAGGATCATGGAGGGCCTGAGTTCATACCTGATGACAATTGTAGTATTTAACCTGGAGAAGAACTAGGAAGAATCTGATAGCTGTGTTCAAGTATTTGAAGTGCTGTCACATGAAATGATAATTAGGCTTGCTCTGCTTAGCCCCACGGAACATGGGTTGAAGTTAACAAAGAGAAAAAAATCAAGTTTGAAGACAGGATATACTTCCTAACAATTCCATTCAGTACTGGAACAACCTACCTTAAGAAGTGAATTCCTAATCACATGAGATCTTTAAGAAAGACAAGGTGACCTCTCAGTAAATCCATTGTCAAAGGTGGCTAGGTGGTACGGTGGATAGAATAGAATGTAGGATGTAGAATCAAAAGACCTGAGTTCAAATCATGTCCCAGACATTTGTTAGCTGTGTGAACCTAGGCAAGTGACAACCTCTCCCAGCCCATTTACTTATCTATAAAATGGGGATAATAATGGCATCTACCTCCCAAGGGTTTTGTGAGATCTAATATTTTAAGTGCTTTACAAACCTTAAAATGCTATAGAAATACTGTTATCACTATGTAAAAGGGATCCTTTTTTAGTTGTAGGTTAGACAAAAGGTTCTTAAGCTTTTTAGTCTCAAGATCCCTTTATACTCTTAAATTATTGTGAACCACCTCCAAGGAGCTTTTGTTTATGTGGGTTATATCAATATTTGCCTTGTTAGAAATGTAAATATCTTAGTGTTGTTATGAAAATAGTTTTGAACTTGTAGGCCTCCTGAAAGGGTCTTGGGGCCCCCAGGGGTATCCAGATCATACTTTTGAGAACCAGTGGTCAGACTGAATAGCTTCTGAGGGCCTTTTGAATCATGAGGTTCTGTAATTTGAATTCTAAGGCTTCCACCAATGTGAAATTCTGAGTTTTTTAATCCTGGTAGCTTCCTGATGACCCTCATTCCTTCCATGGGCCTTAAGAATTTACTTAGCTGCTTTCCTTTTCTATTGTTACCTTCTGTTGCTTCCAAAAGGAGTCACCCCCCCCTTCTTTGGCTCAGTTCTATGCTCCCAAATCTCCCCTTCTTTCTTTTTTTAATGTAGACTCCATAGGGGTAATGATGAGTCTGTCTTATACACAGCTGATTTTGTTGAAGAGGTGGCTAGCAGGATGGGACCTCTGGTGTGAGGTAGGAAGATTAGGAGCAGTGGTGGGAAGGGTTGACAGTGGGCACTGCCTTAGAGTTTAATAATCCCATCTTTCCTCTTGCCCACACCAATCTTGACACTGCAAACCCCAGTTAGGAGCCTCCCCCCTCATCAGAAAAAAGAGCCTCAGTGGGCATGGGAGACAGTTACAGGAAGTGGTTACTAGAAATAGAAAGAGAACAGTAAGGGAAAGGAAAATTTCAAATGGCAAGAAGAGAAACTGATCAATTAGCACTTACTATGTGCCAGGCACTATGCCTGAGATGCAAAGAAAATTCAAAAAGAGTCCTTTCACTCAAGGAGCTTCCAATCTGATGTAAGTCCTCCCTCAGGCCACTGCCTTTTCCTAGGTGGTCCCTTTGTCCTTAATAAAAGTAAGTCAGGGAGGCTGAGTCAGGGACCAGGGTGATTGGTTACCATTTTACCCATATGTTTTTGTTTTTGTTGTTGCCTTTTCAGTTTTAATCGCCTTGACTTACCTCCATATGAAACTTTTGAAGATTTAAGAGAGAAACTTCTCATGGCTGTTGAAAATGCTCAAGGATTTGAAGGCGTGGATTAGGCAGCTGCTACTTTTTGGTTGTTGTTCGTCAAGCAAGTTCTTCTTGCCCTTTGCATTTGCCTAATGGACACCTAAGCCACAATGGCAGAACAGTTGCACAAAGTTGGTTTCTGGAGCAAACTCTTCGACAATGCAGTTGCCTAAGGGCAGAAGTTGGAACTCTAGCCCAAGGATAGTATTTCTGCATTTTCCACCACAAATTATCAACTGGTTGACGTGTACACTAATTACATTTCAGGAGGACTTGTTCTATTTATGTTGGGCCTCTGTAGGCAAAGCCCTTAATAAATATTTTACATACTTTCTAATGACAATGAATGGAATTAATCACTCTACAGGTATAGTATTACAACTCATGTTTACTTTTAAAAATGATTTAGACCTATTTTCAGATTTTATTTCATTACAATTAAAGATATTATATACTTGGAAAAATGAGCATTTTTTTCATATCTGAATTTCCTACTAGACTTAATGTCAGTGACATTTTTATTTTTTTTAGTACGTTGAATCTTCCCCTGCCCCACTGTATTCAAAACAGAGATCTAATATTTGTTCAAAAATGCTCCCCAGACAAAGACATTTAGAGAATTTCAAACAAGTCATCAAGCATAATGATAATCTTTCCACACCCAGATAGGCTAAGCACTGACTGGAGATTACATTTTTGTGCAAATTTAGTATCATAGCTGCAAGACAAGAAAGAATCATGACACAGCATGAAAAATTTTCTGTTGACTTAAAAGGAATCACCGCATTGCTCCTTGGTAGCTATTCCAAGTAATAGAATCCACTTTGAGTCAGGGTGAGGCTACCATTTCTTGTAAGAGAACTAGCTTATCCCTGCCTTCTTCCTGCTGTACAGTGATGCTTTTATGATCTTTCCTCTTTACTGTTCTCTGTAGTGGAGGCATTTTGAATGAAACCTGGCACTGTTCTTGATATGAAATTGTGGAAACCAGATCTGTTTTGTCTCCTATTTGTATGCATTTTCTAATGGTCGCTAAATAACCACTTTTGTCCTGACTGCACCAATTCTGAAGGCACTTTATGTACTACATGGAATTCATATCTGGTTTTTTTTTTTAATATATCATAAGCGTTTTAATGTGATGATTCCTTCTCATTGCACATGTCTATCAATTGTGAATTTGGCGGCTGCTGATGTATAAAAACCCAGATGTAAAACTGAGCCCAAAGTCCTCTTCTCACCAATTGTTTATGATTTTTTATACAATCACAAAGATTAATTTAGTATACACTTTATCTAACCAAGTTTTGTTACGTAGGACATGTTGCATGCTTAAAAACTATATAATGCCTGAGTTGTATCTATTGTGTGATAGATTAAAGGTAAAAGAGAGAAGACTAGTATTTGATCCACTTAAGATGTTAATCTAGTAGCAGAATCGGCTTGAAGGTATTTATTTGTTGAGGTCATTTGATGACCATTTGATAGCTTTGTAAGTCTTCTTCTTTGCCCATGGAGCTGAGCAGTTCATCTAGTTCTGGAGAGAATTCTGCTATACACGCAGAACCCGTTGTGGCCCCCTTCTAGACTAATGAAGCAACTTTTAACCCTTGTTTCCCACTACCCTCCCCCTAACTCTAGGACTTGCCCTTTCAATTAATCTCTTGCCAGCAGACAATGGGGCAAAAATGTATGGGGTCATGGGTTTTATATTTATTAAGGGCAAGACAGAGATAACAGAGCCCCTTATGCAGCAACACCATGACACTCAGAAAATGTCCTCTTGCTGGGCTCTGCGATGCTTGAGAAAGCATATGAGCAGTCCATCACTGTTCAGAGCACTACAATTCCCAGAGATTTCTGCAGCAGAAAAGCATTGACTTCTTTTTCCACATTGGCTTTTGCCTAAAAAGATAAAAATCAAGAAACCAATATTCTGAGTAATTCACAAGTAGACAATTATTGACTTTTTTAACCAATTGGTGAGAAACTTGATGGGTTTTTTTTTCAATAATAGATCTGCCTAATATCTCACTCAGTTGGTGAAAATCCCTTTTGTGCAACTGCCTTATTCCAAAATTAATTTTTTAAAAGACTCAATCCAAAGGCTGAATTGTGCATTGGTTACTTTTTGAGAACTATTACACAACTATGGTGCTTTATAATCAACCTTTTCCAAGAACCTGGATTTCTTTTGTTATTGTGTAACTACAATTACTTTTTAAAAGGGTAAACAGCCACCAGATGCAAAAAAACAAAACAAAACAAAGTATTAGGAGAAGAAAAACAATTTTATTCTGGTGAGATAATTTGTAAGTCTCTAAAAGGTAAATTAAGAATAGGAACTCCAAAAGACATTGATATATACCATAACAAATCTCTAGAAGACATTAATTGAATAAGAGAAAACTTCAGTTTAGCTCTTTCTAATAAAACCTGCTCGTCTTAATGTCGAATGATACTTTTATCAAACCAGGTTCTCTAAATCTCCAAAGGCTACCATGTTTCAATTTTTCTCTGTAACAATCTCATATCCTGTTTTTCTTAATCATCTTCTTGTAGTCTTCAGGATATAATCTCAAAAAAAAAAAAAACAATGAAGAGAATTTGTTGCATGAAAAGTAGATTCTTTAGGCAAAACTCTGTACATCCAAGTCCACTGTCTATATGACATTATCTGTAAAGAAATGCTGTGTTTCCTATTCACAGATTGTCCTTAGCAGCAAACTTTGCTCAGCAGTCCATGATCTTTACAGCCCTTCTTTGTCCCCAAACCAGAGAAGAAGACACTTGATTCCTGCAAAAAGCATAGGGCTTGAAGAGACAATCTTCCAGAAAGTGTTGCAGATTAAGGAATTTACTCCAAAGAATATATTGTTGAAGAATGATTGCTGAAGCTTCTTTAGCATCAGTTACCATGGCTGTCCCATTAAGTCTTTTGGTATTTCCATTCTTGATCCTTATAGGCCTGATTGAGGAGACTAGAATTTCCTTCTGCCTAGGATCAGCTTAGAAGTGTCAGTTTAAGAATGTGGTGATGCTTCTTGGACTAGAAAGATGTTGAGGTATTTGCTCCATTTCAAGCTATATTCAATTTCAGTGCCTTTTTATTTTATTTTTTTACTTTAAACTCTTACGTTCTGATTCATTTGCCCTGGTTTATTATCTGTAGCTAGTTCCACCCTTCTTCCCTAATAAATCACAGAACAGTAAAGTCTTCATGTAATTCATTATTAGCTGGCAACTGAAATTTTCTTCCAAGTGGTCAAATGATCACTAATGTAAACAGAAGCTATTCCTTCTATTTTAGGGCACCAGGGTAGATTGCAGCAAGTGATGAGTAAAATGTCCAAACCATTCAACATATCTTACATCTGCCATTGTGTTTCTGTTACTTGTACCGCTACTCTTTGGTGTTCCCAGATCCAAAATGCCAGGCTGGAGTCAGGTCATGATATATGTTATAAATCATTTGTAGTAACTCCAGGATTCTACCTACACTGGAAGAATGTTTAAGAGTTGAAACTAGCATTTTCCAAAAGTTCTTGTGTAGCTTACCACTGAAGTTTAAAATTAAACAAAAAATGAGATCCATTTGGTTAGCCAGTTGTAAATTTGTCACCACCCTGCAGATAGCCTCTCCTACTCTCAGGCTCTCTTCCTTCTCCTAACCCTGCACCCTGATCCTAAAGGGGACATATGTGGGATGCTATCTTCCATTTTCTGACAAGCCAGTAGAGGATGCTGTAGTACAGAGTAACTGCTTAGTACCCCTCCCTCCCTCACCCCCAGGCAAAGTACACTACCTCTGTCATGTACAGGTTTTTTTGCCTGTATCCTGACATGGAAGTTGTGTCAAAACTGCCAACTTCAGGCCTGAGGTGTTTAAATAAAAAGAAGTTAAAAAAAAAACCCTTTTCAACTCCTCTGTAGTTTAGATTTTAAAATGGGAAGAAAAATGTGATATACTTTGGACCACTTTTTAAAAAATTTATATATAAGCCTTAACTTACATTGTATATATATATATATATATACACACACACGTATGCACTCACACACACACATGCACACACACACACACATGCACACACACACACACA